ATCAAGATATAAGTAGATAAAATCTAGAGATAATGATCCATTTGTGTACATCTGAGTCACAAATTTGTGTATATCTGTCTACTCAAGATCAAATAATAATTATATGCCGATGAGTTATATTCAAGTTGACTGAAAAATCATGTGAACACAAAAATGAAATAGCAAATAACAAATGTGAAGTGTGATCTAAGGGTTGAAAATGATTACTGGTAACAGTATGAATAAACAAGGGCATAAAAGGAATTACATATGAAATAACTACTTAACAATGAAATGAATAAGAATGTGATTAGATAGAGTGGGAGTTTAAAATGTGAAGTTTCTGGTAGAAAAGTTTTTAAAAACATGACGATCTTATTGTGGGAGAAGGTAGACGAATTAGATGCACATATTTCCTCCAAACATAAATAAGGTTTCCTTGTGATGATTCCTGCATCTTCCGCTACAAGTAAGAGACACTATTGTACCCCTTTAGGTAAACTACAAGGGATGCAATGTATCACAGTAAAAGCATGGCCTAACCTGGTTGAATATCCACAATCTACTAAATGGGGAACAACTGAAGTGCTGATTTACTTGTCGTTCCTTTCCTCAACCAAGCTGTTGTATGTTCACGATAGCGTATGGATAGAGTTATTTGAGCACCACCTATGTAATTAGCTCCACAGAAACAGCTGAACCCATGAATACATAATAAAGTGGTCATCGTTGCCAACCTATCCTTCATTTGCTGTGTCAGTAATGTCTTCGTTAAGAAGCTGAGGAAAAGTTTCAATGCGGCAGCTGTTATTCCGGCAGACCTACTCACTCAATGTGCTATAATATCAAAGGTAATATCACTTTAGGAACTTATTTTAAGACATAGGAATTTCTTAGCAACCTTTTTTTTATAATGTCTCTAAGTTTCAACATCTATTTATTTATGAAGTTTACTGGAGAACCATTTTTCTCTAATATTGTCTTCACTTTATCCGTTGCTTCTTCCCCATAGTCAACAAAATACATATATTGTATTCTGTAATTCAAGCTTTTGACTAGGCTTCCTTTATACTGAACAGGTGCATAGCTATGAAAATGAATACGTTGAGCGATATGTGTGTTCTTTCTGAAAAAATCCCTCTTAATATATACATTCATCCCTCTGATGAAGAGGATATCCAAATCGATATACTATTCTCCTGTTCCTCCCTACAGATGAACTTCACAGTTGGATGGATATCATTGAATATATTCAAAAAATTGTTTTTGTTGAAGTCGTTGTCATAAGTGATGAATGTATCATCAGTCATTCTGTATTACAACTATCCTACTACTATTTATAACATATTGTAAACCATTATCATTGTTAAGATTTCTGAAAAATGTTGTACAGGTAAATTACTGCAATATTAGATGTTGATAATTCTGTACTATAAATGAAATAATGGTTCGAGATTGAGCAAATACATTATTATTTATACCGGCCGGTAATAATAGTCTAGTTTTATCAAATGTATTCACAAAAAGGATCATTTCAAGTTTGACAAGGAAGACATCCCCTAGCATAGGACCCAGAAGACACCCGGCTGCAATCCTATCTACTTGTCTGTAAAATTCGTTACTGAACATTCAACGTGCATTTTGGCAGTAATTCCTTAACTACTTCGGATGGTATTCTTCGTCTATCTCATGCTCTGCTAGTTGGTTGCATATTTAGTTGACTGTTTCCATAAGCTGTACATTGGTAAGTATTGATCCTATATCTAATGCTATTATCTTCTTGCCTTAAGCATTCGTATTTTTAGCGTGTTCTAAGAATCGGGTTGTATCCTTTACGCTACTTCTCAATAAATAGCGAGTTAGAGATTCTAAAGATCGTACTAATCAATTGGCTGTTGAAAGATATGGAGAGTTCGATATATCTGAAATTGAGGATACTGGAGCTGCAGGCTTGTGAACTTTTAGTAAGCCACATAATCTGAATAAATATGCGCCTGGGAGTTTTAAGGTATCAAATTTGGACTTAGAGAGTAGGTTCTGTTACATCAATGACCTTGAGTCTTAGTTGGTTGGGGTTCTGTAGCCTTTGTTGTACGTTTACAGTTTCCTGAATTCGGAAACTTTTTGTTCGCTGAAAAAAGAATTTCATTTTAATTACATAGTAGCTACACAAAATCACAACAAATTCGTGCTGGTTGAATGAAAGAAGTTATTGAAAAATTGGTGGACATTGATGATGATTCTCAATGTTTTTATAACACACTATTAAGGATAGAAATGCATCCGTTTGCATTCACAGAAAGTAGAAAAATAGAAATATATCTGACCGTTGCAAGTTACTTTTGATAGCAGTATCGAAATCTCTTTACCTAAGCAAAGTAGCTTTGACACTAGAAATTAATTGCTATCAATCTTTCTGATAAAACTTTATATGGTTTTTTCTCCTTTTCTCTCTTTACTAGGCTCGATTCTTCTCATCTTCTTTCCAAAGATAGATTACTATATGGAATCTTTTCTTATCTTTAATTGTTTGTGTCCCCGGACTATTTCAGACCCATCACTCAAGCACATTTATGTAAATTTGAGTCTGAAGAGTTTTATTTTTCTTCATTAGTCCCATAACTTATCACATAATGAATATGAAGGAAGATGCTTTATAAGCTTCAATGGATAAGAGACTTTCAGAATATTCCTATTTGATGAGAATAAAATCATTGAAACAATGGATTTGAATATATATTTTCTAGAGAAAAAGATTATCAATTTCTCATTCTTTTGACTTATAACAGCCTTTCAGGTAATATCAGCCCTTTTACTAGTCAAATACGTTGCATGTAACAATTATAATATTGTAACCTAGATTGCCTGTCTGGTTACTGAAATGTTAACATGCATTCAGAATCCTTATTATTCAAGCTTCTATCAAATACAATGATATGAGAGAATGACTTCATAACCTAAAAGTGCATTACAATGATAGTTGAGTTGATATAAAGTAAAATTAGTAAACTATCAAAACAGGGATGAAATCAGTCGTTTCGTTGGAAATGGTTTCCTGGTTTTTGACTTTCTTTTCTTATTTCAGAGTAAACTGAATATTTCTTTACCACTGAAATTCAATGGAAGATATTGATAAAGAAATGTTTGTTTGCTGAAGACTAAAAGAAGTCCATTGAAAAATGTATATGAAGTGACTAAATTTAGTCGTTATGCATGTTCGTCTATCGTACTTGTCATGACAAGAAGATAATAGGCTTACTGAATCACAATACCAAGAGAAATCTTCCTGCAAACTATTCATTCCTTTAGCATTAGATATTATTTTCGAAATGCAGGGAAAAGATATCCGACCAACATCTACTGTACTTTCCTGTTAATATTCACCTGTCAAAATCAACAAGAGAAACTTAAATGAAGTACTCTCTTTCACCTATCTAGACAGCATCGTTTCAGCTACTGGCCGCATAGGCACAGATGACGATGTGAAAGCAGCAAGGATTGGAAAGACAGCAAGACAGATCTACCCTCTTCAGTCTGATGTCAGTGTGGAGATCCACTGCAATCCACAGCACTGCACCCAGCATAAAGCATGAAGGAGATCCTGATTCTCAACAGTAATGTCAGTCAAGTAAGTCAGTGCCTCTGTGTGATGGTTGAGAGACTTGGCGGCGTTTTACAAAAAGCATTCCCAACAAACTGTAGACATTCACAATAGCTACCGCCCTCGCTCACTCGATACTGAAGATCGGATAGATGACCAGAATATTAGGAATAAGCGTGAAGGAACACACTCTGACCTAAAAACGAATCAATCAAGAACCCATCACCTAGGAAATATGCAGAATAAAGTGTTGATGGATTGGATTGGACTGAACATACACTGAGAAGACCATTTGGGGAAATCACGCGCCAGTCCAGGCTCTCGAGTGGGACCCGCATGGGAAACGACGAGTAGGGCGCCCAAGGCGATGTTGACATGTAGATTGTGTGAAGAAGAAATGAAAAGTTCTGGTCAGTTGTGGAGTCAAGTGGAAATGACTGTAGACAAAAGAAGGAAATTGGGGCGTGTTACTCAAGCCCTATGTTCCACTAAGAACCCAATGGGCAAAAAATAATAGTAGCATACAATTGCTATGACGGTACTTAAGTCGCAACACTGAGTTCATCCAAAAAAATATCAAGCCATTTTTATAAGTGAGTATAATCACTCATACAAAGGATATTTTCTTTGCTAATTGTGATACGGAAACCAAGGAAATCAAATATTTCCTCTAATACTTTATTAAACTTCTTAAATTCTCAGAACGCTTCAGCCTATTTGGATAAAGAAATTCTGTACATTGATGCGGAGAACAGTCATTAGCAAATCCTCTTAAGTAATATTTGAAAATCATGAAGTGGTTGTTTTATAGTGTGTAGTAACACCACACCATACTCAGTGGCCTATTCGATAACTTTCCGGAGATTGCAGCGGTAAGTTTCGGATTCCAGTCTCGACTAGAACAAAATCACTCACTGAGATGCAAGTTCATGCAGTTGACAAGTCTTGAATAAGACAAAATGCCCTAATTGTATTCTTCTGTTAACAACTAACCACTGACTGATGTAAGTAAACATTTTATAGTTTATAGTGTAGAAAAACATGTTTTCGAACAAAAAACGTTTTAGAAAAGCATTTAGTGAAGGTAAGAATTCACTAGAAATACGTTTCCTTATGAGTAATATATTTTTCCTCTTCAATAATTATGTATAAGAATTATACATTTATTGGAATTACAAAAGTGTCATTTCAAATCAGTAGTATATAAGAGTATGCTCTAAGTAACTGCTGACTGACCTATGTAATTTGACCTTAGAAATGATTAAATTGCCCTGAAGAATCTTGTTTACTAATCTCCATGTTCAACAACTTTACTTGTTTAAAAAAGAAATTATTTCTAGTTGATACCGGTACTCACAGTATGTAAGACAATATAAAAAAGATAAGTAAAAGTCATACTTCAAAAAAAACTTTTACTTACAAGCTCTTGTTTCACGTGGATGAAATTTACTACCACCTTCATTCAAAATGTATTCACTTAAATCATCTCTTAATTGAAATTTCTCAGGTATATTACGTGCTTTACATGACTGTATATTAAAAAATGTTACCAAGAAAGCGAAATATATAATCATAAAAATTTTAAATATACTGCGATAGTTCCTACTCATTGGTCATAAAATTTACTGTATACAGAATAATATATTTGAATATCAATGTTTATAATAGATAAGGATGTTTAAAATGTACAGAATTACTTCTTCAGCTTATAAACTAGATATCTACAGTAGATGAAAATGTAAAGTATCTAAGATTTTTCTGATTGGTTATATTTTCATAACGAAATGATGACAACATAATAAAATTTAAAAAACACAACCAACTAAAAAGGAATATATAGTATGCGGAAATAAAGTCCACTTTTTGATTGATACACTGACCAACTGTTATTTAATTTGCTGATAGATTCAGCTATTAAATGTTCATTTGTTTATTTAATGTTTTCCTGGAAGAGAAGGATTTCATTTAAGGACTGAATACTGTGATACAAAGTAAAGAGGGAATATCGGTTGTAATAAGTGCAAAATTTTCAAGTGGTGTATTTCTTAAAGAAAAAATTACCTTATTGGAGATGAATTAGAAAAAAATTACGCATTAAGTCGTTTATGAATAAGAAACCTCTGACTTTTCCAGAAGTTTATTAAAATCACATCCAAGAAAAGTATTTCTTAACAGTCAGAAGTAGGTGTGCATATAGCAGAACAAACTAGCACTTTTTTGAAGCATGATAATCCCATCCAAAACTGAGACAGTTGTACAATCGGCTGTAGAATCAAACAAGTCATATCTTACGAAGTTAGGATATTCGATGCCATTTTGATTATTTTGGTACCTGTACTTCTCAGTGAATGTAAAGTTTAGTAAATTTGTTCTAACTGACATCCAACTATTTACTGCTATGTGAAGACATTCTACTATCAGATATTCTTTATAATTTCTAAAGCCTTTTTAAATAATAAAGTGTTCTGTAATGTGTTTGATGTTCTGTAGTAGAACACCGTAACATTGCATATGTTGAGTACCGTCCTAATTTCGTCTGATGTGTGTGATCTGTATGATACGTCTATTGTTAAGGCCCATGATTAGGGAGTACCATTACTGTTTTATCGATCATTATTTTCTATTTTACGAATGAATTTCATGGGATAATTTTTTGTTCTAAGTATCTTGTTTAAATATTTTAATACATCAAGTCTTTCATCTTCCCTTTTAGAGTGTGTGATCTACCCTAAAAGACGAGAGGTAACAGAAACCTTCACGCTGACTGGATGTATTGAACTGAAATCTAAATATTTGTTGGAATTTGTTGCATTTCTGAAAATTTCCACATCTAAATGTCCATTTTCTTTCAGCCTAACATAAAAGTCAAAGAAAGGCAGTTCCTCTTTAGCCGTTTCTTCTTCTAAGCTGGACTTGATACAGAGTGATCTGGAGTTCAGCTGACCTAGGAATACTCGGTATGAATTGTGTTTCAAAATGAGGAATGTGTCATCAACATACCTCACCAAAATGTTTGGCTTCAGTTAGTGGATGAGGACATTTCCTTCTAAATCACTTATTTGTAGGTTACCTATAGTTGGGGAAAAAGTGAAACTATATCTACACCTTTAGTTTACCTTTATAATTTTCCTGTAAATGTGAAGTAAGTAATCTCTGAGCAAAATTTTAAGGCTTTAATTATGTCACTCATATTCAGTGGACATATTTTTGTCATGTGTCTGAGTCTAATAAATTGAGAATAAAATCTAGGTTGTCATTGATTGGTACGTTGTTATATAAATGGCGATTTCATAGCTCACCACAATTTTATCTTCAATTTTAAGTGAGGAAATTTCGGTATTAAAGTTAAGTGAGTCTCTTTTTGTATATTCTCTGCGATTTTGTAGGGGATATTAAGAGAGGTTGTTCGTTGGTGTTGGTGGAGTCCATAATGTGGTCTCAATTAGATGGAAGACTTGCGAATCCTAGGTAGACCGCAGAATCTTGAAGACATCTAAGACTTATGTTTCAGTTTGAACCAAAGTGAAACACTGATTAAAAGTTTCTGGTTTCAGAGTTAGTCTTTTAATTCAAAAAAATTCAAAATACAGACTATTTTAGTGAAGAAAATTTCCTTTTCGACGAATCATTTTAAGCAGTTGTACAGTGGAAGTAATAAGCAAACAGATTAGTCTGTTATTGGCTAATAGTTTAGATCATCAAAACGGAATGTTCTAAGGTGAAGTAGTGGGTCGACCTTAGATTTAAAAATGGATTGTGCGATAAAGTGCGCATAAGGAAAATAAGAAGTGGATTAACATGATGATTAATAGGTTAAAGAAACAGGTCAAAATGGTGATACTAATTATAATCAAAAATCGGAGTAAAACATTGTGAAGACTGTGAAAGGGAGATTAGAGGTAGCATGTTAAGAAGTGAAAAAGTTGTGAGACTCAGTCAGTAAGATTAAGACCATTATTGAAACCTTAAAGAAACTTAAGGAAGGAATATGAACATGCCAAAACAAGAGAATGGACATAACTCTTCCGGCCTTAATTACTGAATCGCCAACGCCTTTGCTACACATGAGTGACAGATATACAGTCCTTTCGTGTCGTCTTGTTTCACTTTGTTTAAGATTTTAAAAGGAAACATTGGGTAAACAACACGATCAGAGTTGACGAAATGACCCAGCATGGAACTACTGCTCGACTTGTATTCTCTTATGAACAGCCACACTGGATAGCGCTTGGAGGTCCGTTTGGAAATATATATATTCATACTTATATATACGGTTTATTAGTGTTTAGTTTCATTTCGGTGGTCTTTTCTCATCAGTTACAGAGTATGGGCCTTCGGACAAGTGTTCGCTTACCTTCCTCTCATTGTCTGCTTTGTTCATACCAATCGTTACATTCCCTTTATCTGTTTTCATCATTATAATGCTCTTATCATTCCTTAAATTTTTCAGGGCTTTAAATTCCTGTTTTTCTTTGCTGTGTGAGGATATGTGATATTTTTTGACGGTCAATTTACTCTCTGTCATTAGATAATGGATACTGTTTTGACTATTTAGTTGTAGAACAAATAGTTCGGTGAAGAAAATCGTTTTCAACGAATTTATTTCCACAGGCTATACTATAGTAGATTTATGATCATTGTCTGTGTTTGTTCTTGACAAGATGTAGATTGAAACGCGACTTTAGTAATTTCCAAGTAAACTAGGGATGCTTTTATGGCACTTATAAGGTGAACATATTACCACATTGTCCTCCTGTTAAAATCGCGTACATAAATAGGTTTTCGCTTTGTGTTTCAATTATTTTGCAGTGTTTATAAATTAAATGAGAAAGATGTGTGAATTCAGTTCCCTAGAAAAACTATGCTACATAATTTCTATTTATAAAGAGGTTTTCTTTATAAGTTGCGTATTTAATAAATCTACGTCATGTTATTGTAGGCACTTTAATACATTATTTCAGATTGCACTTAGTGTTTGATAAGAAAGGCAGTGACAACAACGTTTAGTAAAAAATATTCTAAATACTAATTGCTTTTCGTTGATAAAAGTGTAGGTTAAAGGTTATTTAATTGCCTCAATGAACTTGTGAAAAGCGCATAGTGTTTGGAAATTAATTCAGTAAACTAGACAAACAGACTGATATAGGACTCATTCAATTTCACTTACATCCATCACAAAATTGTTTATTTCAGACTAATGTTCGTTGAAAAGAGCGCCGAAAAATCGCTTCGCGTTTACTTCAAACAAAACCTTGAATATTCAACAATTTACGGGGTAGATTTTAAATCGACAATACTTTTTATAAGTGAACCCAATGCACCCAAAAATAAAAAAACATTGTTTTCACGGGTGATTTCACTACGTGGTTCATGAAAAAGACTATTATGAATAATGGTAAATCAATTAGGTATTATGTAATGGCATTAGACAAATTGGACAAGATGAAGTCAATGTTTTCTAAAAGGATTAAGACAATTAAGTGAAACAACACCGGAAACTAGTTGAAGTGAAGGCGATTATAATAACAATAATAGTGATAAAGGAAGGATACAAAGGTTAAATTAACAAAGTGGGAGGGGGAGCTAATGGGGTGGGAAAATGTTATGGCCATGATAAAGACAGTGACTGCACATACTTCTTTTGTACACACAGATCAGGTCTTAGTTCATGAATAGCTAAAGCTTCCGCTGTTTTAAGGAGTTGAAAACGAGCTGCTTGAAAGAGCTTTTGTTGAGGTGCACATTTAATGTCCAATTCAGTTTCAATAATGAAATCTACAGACAGAAAGATGGAATTGCGATGGGGTCACCATTGGGACCACTGCTAGCAGATTTCTTCATGTCGAAACTGGAAAATTCACAACTTCGTCAAACTATTGATAGCTTTGACTTTTATAGAAGATATATGGATGACACGTTTATTATTTGCGACAAAAATGTAGACCTCGACGACGTGCTTCGTTCATTCAGTGAATGTCATCAAGCCCTCAAGTTTACTATAGAGAAGGAATCAGAATCAACTATTCCTTTTCTTGATGTGCTTCTCACCCGACGTCAGAATGGATACCTTAAAAGATCCATCTACAAAAAACCAACGTGGAACGGACAACTAACTAATTTTTATAGTTGGGTGCCCATCAACAGAAAAAGAAATCTTATTCACTCTCTTTGCTATCGAATAAGAAGTATCTGTAGTGACGATTGTATCGACGAAGAGCTATCTTTCTTAAAAAGCATACTTGTCGAAAACGGTTACCCTAGCCGTTTTATTGATAAAAATATGCGGGAAAGAAACACTAAACCAGTCATCCACTCGGTCTCAAAGAAAAGATTGTTTATGAGCCTAGAGTTTAAAGGAGACCTAGCATCGGATGTACTGAAGAATCGTCTTACCAGATCAATCAATAGGACTTTCTTCGCAGCAAGACTCCAGTTGACTTTTACCAGCCGCAACCTATTCTCCACCTGCGTCAAAGACAAGCTTCCTCGTTTGGCCGCCTCTATGTGCATCTACCAGTTCACCTGCTCTTGTGGAGCAAGGTACATCGGCCGTAGCCAGAGAATGCTTTCTACACGTATACGAGAACATGTTCCTGCTTGGTTTTATAAAGGTGAAAGAAAGTCTGTTAGAAGTTCGATTCTAGAACATTTGATTGACTTCCATCACACAACAAATCCAGACGATGACTTTGAAATTATTTATCAAATTCGCCCAAACCTCCCACG